CACACACACACACACACACACACACACACACACACACACACACACACCTTTAAAGTCGCTCAGGAACAAAATTTCCTCCTTTTCAAATATTCATGAGGCGGTCTGGTTAAAGCAGTCTTAACTCAAACACAGACACTCAATTTAGTTTGACCTGTGTGTGTGTGTGTGTGTGTGTGTGTGTGTGTGTGTGTGTGTGTTAGTTCACGGCTTACATAACTACACTCTTCAGGAGTGTGCGTGTGTTTTGACCTGAGTGTGCAAAGAGATAAAGTGTGCGTGTGGTTGTGCTTTTGTGCATGTGTGTTCTGATTTGACACAGCGTTGTGAGTCTGTCCCGAACATTTTATCTACTTTGTGTGTGTGTGTGTGTGTGTGTGTGTGTGTGTGTGTGTGTGTGTGTGATTTTGTCTTTGGGGGTGATACTGAGTTTATCCGTCCGTTTATCTGCTCGGCAAGTGAAAAACTAGGCTGTATCGAGGTAATGCTTTTTGTGTGTATGTGTGTGTTATTCTGCCTGTGTGTATAGTACACTGTGTCCTGGCAGTCGTGTGTGTGTGTGTGTGTGTGTGTGTGTGTGTGTGTCAATGTGTGCACGAGTATAATTGTTTGCGGATGTGTTTGTGTGGTCAAAATGAGCAGTTATCTAAAATTGCTGCTGGAATTGCTCAAAATGCCGGGTACATATAACACACACACTCACACACACACAGACACACACACACACACACACACACACATCCTTGTACGTCTATCTTTGTGAGGACTATGACTGGGTGTCAGTAGTCGACACCTTTTTAAGGTATTGACCAAAACAAACCAGTACAAGTGGTATTGCAGCTTCTTCACTTAAATGACACATGCATCTTGAAAAACGTTACTCGTATGGTTTTACTTGCAGCCATTGGTCCACTACCTCAGCAACTACGACCCGTAGAGCAGGGAGGGCCTGTCCGAACGCCGAGGTGTCTGAGCCGGCGGCTAGCAGCTAACGGTGCTGACAGAGCTAGCAGATATCGCCTCAGGAGGCGATGATCACTCGCCTATCTATTCATTACAACCTGGGTGACCGAACCAGAGGGTCGATGTTACGCTTCCACAACATCGTGGTCCCGCCACTGTGAGCCCGGGCATTATCAGTTTTACCGCTGTCCATTCACACGATGGCTATCGAACATAGACTGTAGATAAGAAGTGGACGTAGTCGTCAGGACGTCACTCATTGGTTCGTGGCCTGCCGTGCCTAGAGTTCGCCATTTTGTCTGTTGCCTTCTTGAATTACGGCCGTCACCATCTTGGCTTTTTTGCAACCAGTGAGCGTAAGTTACCAAATTCAGAATGGGGAGGAATGACGTCATGCACGTCTCTGGTAGAAACCTGTCAACTATCAAAAAGAGGGACCTCCATAGATTGCAGAGGGGACCTAGTCTTGAAAACGGTTACCTCCCTCTTATTTTGTATATTTGGGTTTTGAATATTGTTGCTTTGGTATTGTACCTCCTCTCTTTCCACCCTGTGCGTGGACTTAAACTCCCAAATGCAACATCAACAAGCTGCTTGTCAAATCAGATCATGGCCACACACTGAGGAACCACCCGCTGTGATCACACACACACACACACACACACGACCGCATCCAGGCGCTCTTGCGAACTCCGACCTTGCTCTTCATGGTCGGTGTGTTTTACTAGCTTGGTTTTGGTCTGATTTGTGTGTGTGTGGGGGGGGGGGGGGCTGTAGCAGAACCTGAGCTCCGCCGGTAATACGCTGGCAAGAGGAGACATTCATATTTCATGGCTCGCTGAGTTACATCCACACACCTTTTTCGGACGCTTTGAAGCGTATATTTTGGTCACTGAGCGGAGGTTTCGGAAGCTGGACTGCAAAGAATAAAGCAAACTTCCGTTGAGGAGTTTCACCTTTGAGGCTAATGTGGGAGCAGAGAGCAGCTGCAGGTTTCCACTTTGTGACTTTGGCCTGGTCAGTGAAGGAACTACAGGTCTGCTCTTCTAATTTGACATTTCATTGAAGTTGGCAGTGCCTCTGTTCCCTGGAACCCTGGCAGAACTTTGACACGGCCACGCGTTTCTTAGTCTCAACCTCCCGAGTTTTCTTCCCTTACGTAACTTGTTCATGTGTTTTCCAACTTTGAAACCTCGCAGGATTCTATTTTAAAACTGTGAAACTCCAGAAATTTTGAGGATTTCTATGCTACTGTCTTCTTCTCTGTTATTTTGCTGTCGGAACATTTCTGAAGATCTCCAGACCCGCAGGTCGAAAAGGTCGGAAGCGAATAATTGGCCGGGGCTTTTTAAACTTTTTAAACATCACCTGCTAGGCTCTTCAACCTCTCATCGAAATGAGCTTGTTATCAAGTGCTGGAATATCTTGCAGTAGAATACTTAGAACTTGCCTCAGTTTGTACTTTTCTTTTACCCGTGTCTTGACAACTCTCTACCCCCGACTTCCTAAAAGCAGCCAGGTGTATTCACACAGCCCTCGTCTCTCTGTCTCTGCTCCTAACGTTGTAATTATCTCCAACACTTGATAAAACCCCTCCGGCTCTCTCCCGCTCCCTCTTTCAATCTCCCTTTATTGCATCATTATATTGCACTTAATCATCCCTTGGTGCTTTACTACTGTTGGTTTTCTGATCCATCCCTCCTCGTCTCACACTTTCTCCGTCTCCTGTTTCCTCCTTCTCTTCCTGTCTGTCCCCTCCTTTCCTTCTCTGCACTCTCACTCCTTTTTTTTGTCATTCTCCAGGTGAAGTATGCTTTCTCCCCCATACTGAATTTGTCAAAAATAGGTCGGATAGCAAAATACTCCCACCTCCGTCTCCATTATTCCACACCTAGTTTTACTGGTGTATTCCCCTCCACCTCCGATCCCTGCTTCCCTCACGAGTCTCTGCTTTCATCTCAGATGGTTGCATGTTTAATGTCACGCCTTTCACGTTGGTGCACGCCCGCGTGGACGCTTTCACTAAACATATACTGTAGATCCAGTTTTCAGGGATTCAGGAGGTCTACATCTTCCTCCATCCCAGTCAAAGAAACACCTGTTGTTGTGTTTTGTTCTGGTGTAACACTTTGTAACTCTGTAAATAGACAACAGATAAAGTCTACCGCTGGCCCTGTTTCTCTGACGGTCTTGCTCTATTAGGTGCACAAATTCCGTCTCATTAATTCATACCCGGCACTGCACAGCAGGACCCCGACTGTGCGAGAGAGTGTGAGTGTGTGTGTGTGTGTGTGTGTGTGTGTGTGTGTGAGTGTGCTTCTTAAGCGTCTTATTTGGAACAACATGGAGGGAGGAGTACATTTAATCAACATAACTGGGAAGTTCAGATGAAACTCCTCCGTGATGATCTCATGTGTGTTTCTTGTGTATCTTCCAGGATTGTCGAATACTCGCTGGACCTGCAGAACGTCAACTTCACCGCCATCAGGACAGTGAGGGTCCTGCGGCCCCTTAAGGCAATTAACAGGGTGCCAAGTGAGTCTTCTTTTCCCCTGTATCAATTCAATGTGTCGTAATGCAATTCAAAGCCAAGAGGAGAAAGTGAACTTTGGCTGCATGCACATAGTAGATGGCCACAAAAGAGTTGGAGCCAATAGTTCAATTCATGCTTCAATACAAAACAAATATATGCATATTATATATCTGAAAACTGCATGATCATCCATGTAATGCCTTCCCTGGCTCTCGTTCAGCACCATGGACAGCTGCCTGCTGGAGCAGCCAGAGTCTGGTGGCTCGGTCGCTGTCCGAGGTGCTGAACACGATTCACTGAGACAGAAATACCTCTAATGTTTTAACACCTTCAGACAGATGACAACGCGCTGCACTTTATATGAGAGTTGTATATCAAAGTTTTACAGTACAATGAACTTACGCTTTCCATTCTATTCCATATTTTAATGTAACCGTTCCTTACCATAGCACAGCTGAAGTACGCTACCTCATAAGAGAGATACGTAGAAAAGGCTTTGTTTGTATAGTACGGTTAATTTACTAAAATTCAGCGGCAAACAGAAAAATCGTAATCCTTTTTTTTCCGGACGAGTGTTGCAACTAAATACTAACCAAAAGCAGACCTGTCCCAGACGATCTGAGCGGTCTGGAAGGTTCATCGTTTAGCTGCAGAAGATACTGAAGACACACGTATAGTCGGATATCATCAGTCTCAGATGAAGTTGAGTCTACACTCTGCGGTTCCCGGTTTGATTTGACCAACATGGCATCAAACAGAACCTTGTGTTTGGCAGCAGAGGTTGTGCAAAAGGCTGAGATCATAACGTCTGTGATTGTGTGCATGTTTCCTTTAATCACCAACAATTACAAGCTTTCCCCAAACGTTACTTTCCTCACATTGAAGTGCAGCCTCAAAGAAGTGAACAATTCAACATGTGCTCATGACTCAGCAGGTTGCTCGGGAAGTAGTTCCCTCTGCAGCGATTCTTTTTAAGTGACTTCAGGTGTTTGAAACTTAAGACCTTTGACTGGAACATCTGCTCTGCATCGACTGAGGACAATGGAGTGAACATGAGATACAACATGCTGTATGTTGGCAGTAACGTTTGGCTGGCATGTGGATCAGAAGAAAAAACAACAAGGAAGAGAGAAGGGACGGTGGATGTTCATGGATCCAAGATAAGAAGGCAGCTAGGATTTAAACACTTTGCACACACTTCACTACGTCTGACAGCGTTAATAATAAGGTTGCTGACACAACTATACAACTACACAACTACACACCCACGCCCTGAATCCACACACTCGCCTCAATCTCTCTCGCTCCAACCCAACAAGTTAGAAGATTCTCAGATATTTTAGTGACAATTGCAAGTGACATTCTGCCATTGAGGCTTCCAGGGGGTCTGAAGTGTCGGTCAAGGGGTCTTCGGACCCCTCAGAGACCGCCCTAATTTTGCACAGTGGTCTCAGGTCTTCATGAAAGACAATCACACCTCTTTTAATCCTTCTGTTTATCATTCTTCAGTCAAATAAATCTGCATTGAATGGATCCGAAGCTCCTGTTTCTGAGTGTTTCCTTCTCCACCTCGCTCACAGACGGCTCTCAGGTATTGTTAGCGACACAACAAATGCTGCAGAGCGGATTCGCTGCCACGTCGTTACTCATTTTAGGATCAAACGGGCCACATGACAGCAGGCACCGTTGCAACTGCAGCGGGTCGACACCACAACCCCCGGCTCAGAGTCTCCGATGTGATTGCGTTGGTTGTGTACCTGTTGTTTCCTGCTGGCTCTTCAGGTGCTGGTATGCATGTGAGCAACATGATTTTTTGTCTCATGCATTTTAAGCAGTGATGGACTGTCTGGACACAGAAATATGTGAGCTGCACATCTCATCTCATCCTGTGTGAGGAAACACCAAAGTGCAAAGAGCTTTTTAAATCCCTCAAAAGTCATTTGATCCTCCCGTGACCGAAGCGACGCTCTGACGTGGTGAAGTGTTCCGCGGTGCTGCTTATAGTCTCCGTCCTCTCCTCATGAGGATAAGCAGAGCTCGCTGCTGCTTTCTTTCTGCTCTGTGTGTAAATTGCTCCTGGCAGGCAGTAATTTCAAGAAGCTATGAGTGCTCTCTAAGTCGGATACGCTGGTGCTTGAAGTTAATGTTGTTTTGCTTTTCCTTCATGAGCGTAATTGCTGAACCTCCCACTGCTCATAAATCTGCAACAGAAACTATCCGAGCCGCTTCATTTATTTATTTTTCTTCTCTGAAAGCAGGAAGTTAGTCGGCCACAGACGAGCGTGTTCTGATTCCTAGATCTGACGCCTGATTTATAGCACGTGTTACATTACATTACAGTCATTACATTACAGTCATTACATTACA